ACTGTTTCTGATTTCAGTGTGTATTGTTGAAGGATACAAAAAAAGCTTTACAAAAATTGTGATCAGACATTTGTTTTGTTGATTCAGCAGTATGAGATGCGTAGTTCTAGACAAAAAAAAGCATCCTATCAAACGTCCTCTAACTTGTTAAATCAGAACCTGCTAAAGTAATAAAGATCTATAAAAGCAGTGATCTAAGATTTACAGTGAACAATCCACAGCTGGCTTGCAGAACAGTAAAGACACTGTATTTGGCATTTTCAGTGACATTGGTTAATGGGTTGGCACATTAATGAAAATCTAAACTTCGCTACTGTGATGTCCAAAATCATCATCATCCTCATTTTGAGTTGTCCTATTCATTTGCCAGCCACATCTTTTGTTGTAGAAGCCCACAGTTGCTTGTGCCTTGTGGTTTCCCTAAATCATTCTCCCAGGTGATTAATCTTCTGATTACCAGTCTGTTTGGGCAGGCTGGTTTTCCTTTGCTGTGCCACTTTTCCACTTTTTTGTCAAGAACTGACAACCCTCATTTCCTAGTCTAGTCTGTTGAAGTTCAATCCCAAAATAAGACAGCAATTAACTGGCAGACAAAATTTGACATTTAGTAGTTAGTTTGCAATCTGATACATATCACTTAGTAAATGTCTGATATTTAACAGAATAAAGTCTGTTGTGCTTGTGGCTATTAGTAAAGACTAATGTGTCCTAGTAGGAAATGTTTCTTCTAGCTGTAAATAAAAGTGAATGCATCTGATGATTTTTGTAGGCATCTGTTGAAGTCAGGGCCAACACTTCTGGGACTCAGAAAGCAGCCCCCAGGGTCACAGAGCTCACATGACCTAGTTTATTCTTCATTAAAACAGATGGTATCTATCTGAGCAAGGCAAACTTGGTTTTAAGAAAGAGCTGGGGATTAAAACAGCTGGGTCTGATTAATGGGAGCAAATAAAGAGGCAATCTAAGCAGCAAATTAATCATCCACATCAATAGCAAAATAGTCACTACATGACTACTCACTAAATTGTTTTAGCTGATCAAAAGTTGCAGGATTGTTTTACCTAGCATCAAAAGTATCTGAAATTGCATCAGAAATGTTCCCACATTCTTTATTCTTTTCTGCCAGGCTTCAAAGAAAACAAAATGGAAACTGGCTATGGTGTTTTTGAATGGTATTAGCGAATCCAGCTTGTTTTGTAAGACTGAAAATACCCTACTTGTGTGTGATATATAGCCCAAGTTGGTCCTCTGCAGATTTTGGCCTCGTCTCTTTGTGTTTAACATGAGAAGGTTACCTAATGGAGAAGATTGCAGGCATTCCTTCAAGCTCTGCAACCACATAAAATTTGCAGTGGGATCCAAGAATTTTGTTTCTGTTGTAAACAGATTATACTGGATTAGTGGTTAGCATTTTGCATATTTTATTCTGTTTGCCCATTTAGTCCTGAAAATCCTGAATTGTGTTGCTAACAGCACAGGCACTCTTCTTGCTGTTGCTACTGGTGGCCAGAGACCTTCACTTACTATATGCCTTAGCAGGGGGAAGGGGCCTGTGCAAATAAACTACAACTCTACCTTCAGACTTGGTAAGAACAGCTGTTTTCTTGAGGTATGAGCTTATCATGTAGGTGCTTTGTTTTGCTCTGAAACTCTGGTAACATGTACTAAATTAAACAGACAGATAGGGATATATGTGTAGGGAGTGTATGAAGCCATTGCTCTTCCTTCAGCAGGATAGTACTTGGTAGATCCCAGGGCAAATCCAGAATGGTACAATGTCCCTCGAGTTCTCTTGGTTTGAACTAAATATGAAATAAACATGAGTAGACTAAAGTGCAAATCTGTCAACAGTGTTTCCCTTAATTCTTCCAGACAAGTGTAGAATATTTCCATCTTAAGGTAATCATAAGGAACATTTACTCATCTGTCACAAAAGGTCAGCTTCATTTGGTTCACACAGATGAACTCTGAGGTGATCGGGGGGAAATGTTGAACAGTTCTTTCATAGGGATTAACAGAAATTGTCCCATGAGTTAGGTGTCTCCTCACCTGGAGTGGGCTTTGATGGAAGAGTAATAACACTGCCTTTTTGCTGCCAAAAATTTTCCCTCAAATTTATATAGCTGGGCCTTTGTCTTGCTCAGTGCCACTTACTGCTTCAGGTTTTTAGTTTTCTTTTTATGAATGTGAGGGGCAGAATTTCCATCTACTCAAAACACAACAATCTATTCTTATAAAACGGATATACTTGACTATGCTAATCAACCACAATAACATCTTGTTGCAGCCTCCTACCTTCTCTATCAATTGCAAGGAAGAACACTTAAAGAATGTTAGCAGAAATGGCTAAAAGTATGAGCTGGTTTGAAGTGAGATTTTTAATTGCAGTAATTTATGCAAATTTTATGTAATTTATGAAAATTTTACCTGGTTATTTGAAGACTGGCTAAGCATAAAACAAAACAAGAAAAAGGCATAGCAATTAGTCCCATGGAAGAGTGGTGGGTGTGTGGGTACTGCCAGCTAATGCAGGCTTAATGGATTTTCTGAGAAGACTTGATGGAGAGAAAATGCATATTTTGAGAAGACATGTCTCAAAACAAGTGTTAGATGGCTTCTCAGTCTGTATGGTCTTGATTTTCATAGTTGCTGGCAAGTGTGCTCAAGATGTTTGAAAATAGACTGCCTGGGATCAGTTCAGCAATAAAACTGGTTAGGGAGGTTCTATGTTCTCGCCTGTCTGTGTGGTCGTCTGGTTTTCCCTGAGGCTTTGTAGATTAGGGCCTTGCCACTATTCTGGAATAGCCTGCCAGGCTTTGCTGTTCCTGACAGAGGTGTTTTTACGCAGAAAGTGTTTCCAAAGTTAGAACGATTGCTAAATAAGTCTCTGACAGGTTCTTCTTTGAAATTAGGCGGAACTTGTGATTTCTATTATTATTGTTGTTATTTCTGACCAGTGGTTTGTAAAGAGAAATTATTAGCATAAGGAAAAGTAAAGCATTCTAAAATAAAAATTTCTTAAACAAGTAGAACAAGTCCTGAAGCATGTAATCACTATAGATCTAGGAACAATTAGATATGTGTTCACTTTTGACTTTCCTGTTGGATATGTCTGTGGAAGCACTTTGTTTGTACAAGTATCAAAATGCATGTAAAACCACATTTGCTTATGGGGGGTTAGTATTGTTAATTTCCCTGAGTCCACATTGGGAAGTCTCAAAAATCAAAGATGGTTTCTAGTTTTAGTGTGCCATATGACTAGCATTATTTTTCACAATGTTTTTACTCAAAATTTAAATTTCAGCTCCTAATTCAGAAATAACAGTTAATTTTCTTTTTTTTTTTTGTCTGTACATGCAGTGTAAATGTAAGTAATCAGTATTTAAAGTAGTTTGAACAGATGTCTCTGCTTGGAAACTTTTGGGCCGTTTTTGGTGTTTGTTTGTTGGGTTTATGTTATTTGTTTGGGTTTTTTTTACTGCAGAAGCCTGTCCCTGAGCAAATAAAGTTGTTTGCAGTTATAGTCATGTAATGTGAGTACATTGTTAAAGGATTTCATTGCATGATAAATTTTCCAGGGTAACCTGATGGTTTACTTTGCTATAAAAGCAGGCTTTCTCTGAGATCTGTATATAGTTTTCACGGTTAAAGAACCGTAACTCAGGACAGGTGGGAATGTAAAACTTCTTTGATAGAATCTTTTGTGCTTCAACAACGGTAATGCTTGATGTGTTTGTGTAGTGAGAACTTTTATCTTGAAAACTGGCTTTGAAATCTGTATTGGTAGTGAAGCTGCAAATTCCATAAAACTGGATTGCAGGAGTTAGTAGTTTTTAGTGTTTTTTAGTAAATGCTGTCTTAAACAACATTTTAAGTGATTGGAAAGAAAAACTGTTAAATAACACAAAATATTTTAGCTGAGAATCCACATACAGCAAACAATACTTCAGGCATAAATTTAAGCTAGCAGAGGCAAAAATTCCCTTGTTTTTTCTCATCTCCCCAGTAATGCAATTTTAGAAGTTCATTTGTTGGTTTCTTGCTCCTACCTATCTCTGAAAAATATACTTCCTTTCACATACGCACTCCTTTCCCTGTACCTGTTGCACATCTTAGGAAATTGTCTTTACTATAAATTGGTCATAACTGATCAACACAATCTGAAATCAAGTAACTAACCAGTTAATAATACTGCAACAGGTCTGTGTGCTGCCTTTCCTAGGGTATGTGCAAGTGAGAGGATGATAGTGAACTGAAGTATTAAGCTTTTGACTCTTCTGGAGAGAGGGACCTTTCACAAGTTAGGTGCTTGGTTTTAATGCCAGATGTCCTTTACAGTGGTACATATTGCTGTCGGAGAATGGGATTAAAAAGATCAGGTGCACTGTTGTAATGGAACCTATGTGCCATTGTTTAATTAGCAGAAAAACAATAAGCAATCACCTAATGAGCTGAAATTTGTGTTGGTCTTCAAATGTGTAAAACTGCTGCACAACAAATAGCAGTCTGGCTAAATGTGCCAGCTTTAACTTTGATTTCAAACTAAAAGATACTCAGTTCAGTTATATATGATTGTCTTGAGTGCAATGCACTTAAAAGGAACTTTAATGACTGTTGAATAGAGAAATGCCTAATACTTTATTTAAAAGTCACTACATTTTTATTTTCCTTCTTTATTTTTTAGAGTGAGTTCAAAAAGGAGTACATTACTGTAAAAAAAAAAAGGACTGCCAGACAGCTGCTGTTTCCAAGTGATATAACAGTGAGCATTATAAGCAGATTTTAAAAAAAGTATTAATTTTTAGAAGGATCAGCAAATATTATGTATTTTTTCCCATCGCTTCCTTATCCTACTGAATTGCTTTGCCTCTTTGTGCACATTTAAGTTTATAATCTCCTCACCTGAATAATTGGAGTTCCTGTAGGTTTTAATTTAGCAAATTATCTTTGTACTTTTTCCCTTTTTATGCTAAGTTGATGTTTCTTCTCCAACTTTTCAGGCACAGGTACCTTTGGACGTGTTCATCTAGTGAAGGAAAAAATGGGCAAGCGTTACTTTGCACTGAAAGTAATGAGCATTCCTGATGTCATTCGACTGAAGCAAGAGCAACATGTGCACAATGAAAAGTCTGTCTTGAAAGAAGTAAACCACCCTTTTTTGATCAGATTGTAAGTTGTTTTTTTTTTTAAATTCATTTCAGTCATACAGGAAGCGCAGTTAGAGTACTCCAGAATCTCATTGCAAGTTCTTAGGTACTTTACCAACACTGAATATTTAATTTCTCATATGTAATCTAGATTAAAATAGACTTTGGAATGAAGTACATATTTTAGAAGAGTCAAGAATTTAAAATAAAGAGGCATTATTTAAACATTGAAACAATTTATTATAAGGTGTTTTCTCTCTTATCTTCACACTGCAGAAGAGACATTTTCTAAAGTGAGAGGAAAATACAAATGAAGAATTGTTAGCTTTGGCTCATCAAAATGACTTCTAGGATGATTCTTGATGTTAGAATTGTGATGAAAGTATTTCTACATGTATGTGCTGTAGATATTGGTAAATAGCTAAAAATATTCCCTAGCTAAAGACTAGGGATATTCCCTAGCTAAAGACTTAAATAGCTAGTTTTTAAAAACTTAAGTGAACTTTTGCAAACTTTATTTTTAAAGAGTTTAAATAACTGCAGCACTTCTTGGACTTGTTATTCCTGTATTTGAGGCTGTTAAGTGATGGAACCTATTGAGAAGCATTGTTTAAACACAGTTCTTAAAGAATACTTCTTTTTTAGTGAAATTGAGGTAACTCTGATGATCCCAATGGTCCCATTGTTAAAGAAAGAAGGTATCATACTTTTCTGTTCACAGCACCATGGTGCTTCTTGTGTATCTGAGTCTATATCTATTAATGGCATAACTAAACCTCTGTTAATTGCAGGTTAATTTCCATTAATGTTTTCTCATGCATGGATACATGGCCAGCTATTAACTAAGATTTGTTTCCATTTACCTGCCTTAATCAGTTTTACATAGAATTAGACAAAATTAGCATTAGTTAATCTAGCTGCAGGGAGTGCAGCTTCCTGCCAGGGTTAGGCAAGTATAAAAGAAGAAGGGAACACCGTGGTAGTCACTCAGAAGATGGAATGAGCCCTGCAGGAGGAGGCTTTTTCCCTGGTGTGGTGTTGGCTTTTCCCAGCATCATGATGCTGTTAGTTTCCAGCTAGAGTTCAGAAATCCTGTGTGTGGCATAGTATCAGTAAGACAAGTTCTAGAATATGTAGAGATTGAGATTCGTGGAAGAAATCAAGATGGAGAAGCTGAGTACATCTGGTTAGACTGGTTGAAGTATGGATGGAATGGGGGGAACAGGATTTTGTATATGTATCTGTGTACATCTTGAAATTCTTGAAAAGAAAACCCTACTGAAAACAACAAGCAAACTCCCAGACAAACCCCATCTCAGTAGGTCTGTGTCTCAGAAACAGTGGGAGTAGAGAAATTTGGGTGACATGTCAGAGACAGGGAGGATTCATGTTCATACAGAAGTGATCAAAAATCCAAACCAGGGGAGTTTTCCTGGATTTCATTCATACCTTATTCACAAAATACCAGATTTTTCAGGTTGCCAAAGGACACAATTCAAATAGTTCTCTTTCTGTGCAAAGCAAACATTTTTCATGTCTTCTAGAGCTCTGCTTTTTCTGTTGAAATGTCCAATGGTATGTTGCATCAGCAGCTATGTTCATGTAATTGTCCATGAGATGCCTTTTTCCCTTGTCAGAGGAGACTCCAAGCAACATAGCTGAAGTGAGGTGGTTAAAATTTAAGTCACAAAGATATTTATGTGCTTTAGGTTAAACAAACCTTTGTGGATGATTATCACTAGATTGTATGACAAATAACACTTTCTGCAGTTTTTCGTGTAACTAAAAGATTTTTTTCAGCCACCTCCTGCCCAGTATGTGTTTGGTTTATTTATCTGTTAATTATTTTACTGTAAGTGTTTAACAGAAACAGGGGAAAATTATATAGTTCAGCTTTAATGCCTTTAAAGTGTGTTATGTACATGGTCTGGTTTTTATGTTTTCAGTTAGCTTCACCATCTTTAACACAGATAGCATTTTCCTTTGGTTTCAGTGCAGCATAGTATTTCAGGATTTTATGATGGAAAATTATAAATTAATGCTGCAGATAATTGTTTTCTGGTGTTTGGAGATTTCATATGTTTTCCTATATGTAAAGAATGTTTTTTTTTCCTTTTCTGTTACTTTTGAGAAATACCTAATCTCAATATAGGGATGTACAGTTTTGCTGTAGACACTGGAGTTATTCATCTACTCATTATTTTTTTACACTATTTTTTTCTAAACACTTCTTAAGTGCTTCTGTAACCAACTGATCACTGGAGATTCCTAGGCAATATTTACTGACAATTGAGTAGCGTGTCACATTCACTGTGGTGCAGCTCTTCATAGTGAGATGTAATGTTGATGTGCTTTTGAAGAGAGGAAGAATTACTAAAAATCAACTGTGTCTTGTAGCTGTATAAGCTGAAACAGGTTGTTTGTCTGTAGGATTTCACAGTGGCATCTCAAGTTTATGTAGCAAGCTGAATTGTAGAGTTAATGACACCACATGTTATTCTAATCACAGCTTCTGTGATTTTTTTCTTTTTGTATTACATTACCATTTAAAGCAGTCTGAATTGCAAGTACAGAAATTCTTAATTTTGCTCTTTTTCATGTATACCAAATAAAGTATCCATTTTTCTGTGGATAGACAAACCTTTGAGTCAGTTTTTTAAGAAATTAATTCTGGTAAAAATGCTGTGCTTAATGATGCAGAAGTTCCATTTTTTCCCCCTCTGTATTGTCAGATTTTGCTCTTCCTCTACTATATACATAAATGTGTTTTGCTTTGTTTCACCCATTTCTGCCCTTCTTTCATTGTTTATTGTAGGTATAGTTTTACCTAATTACATAAAATACATTTTCAGAGTGGTTTTGTGTAGTCTGTAAAGATGCTGTGAACATCATCAATAGCCAATTAATGATGTTGATGACTGTGATCAGGAGGAAGTTCCATAAAAGAAGACAAGCCTGGGCTCTGCTTTCTCCATCACTGAGGCAATCAAAGATCTGTAGCTCATGTCTGTTAGTCTGTCTTGTTTCCTTGGTTGCCGCAGTGCTACTGTCAAAAATAAAATCTTCTGGACTAAAAGACATTCATGTGTTGTGGAGCTCAGTTTATGCTCACCTTTCCTGAGGCTCTATGCCCTGATTAACTAATGAGGTATTTGTGATAGTGCAGAAGCACTAGCTAGAAGCTGAAGTAGCTTCTGTTCTTGTATCGCTGTATCAATAAGGTAGGTAAGGATACAGTATTCTCTATCTTTTATTATGGAATTAGGGATAGTTCTTTGGTTTAAATGGCAGTGTTCTTCAAGATGTTACCACTTATTTGTTTTCCTTCTTTTGAGCTACATTTAGGGGTAAGGTGACTTGTTTAATGTAGATACAATGAAATAAAAGATAATTGAGGGGAATGTAGAAGAGAAGATTCCTATATTCTGTAATGAAGCATTTTAAAGCCACATATAACTATTTTCTTTCCTCTATACCTGTTCTTTATGTTTTTCTGGCTACCACAGAAATAGCTCTTAAATTAAAGGTAGTAGTCTGAGGAGTACAAGGTACCTATCCTTGGATTAATTCTGAGGTACAGAAATGAACCTTGTTCTGCTATCAATTTTGTTTTTGTGAAAGAAGATCAAGCCATAGAAGATCAAGGCTTGTCATCTGATGCTTTAGTTTGGATTGTGTATCTCTAGGGAGGAAGGCATAGGACAGGAGGACAACTCTTTGATGTCTGGTTTTGAACATATTGTCATGAAAGTCTTTACAAAAGCAGGTTCTGCTTACCCCCATCACTTTGGTAATGCTTCATAATATAAAATGCAAGGTGTGTAAAAAGTGCCTGGTCTTTTTATTGGGTCAGTTATTTGGTGCTTAGAAGAGACCTGTTTTGCATGATGAAACAGAATCTATCAATTAATGTTTTTTCTTGTCCTGTGCTGTATTTACCCTCAGCTATCTGGTTTTGTAGTGTAGTTTAAGGTGGTTACTCAAATGTATTACATAATCCTGCTGGATTCTTGGAGGTTTTAATGTTTGCAGACAAGGAATCAGAAATTAGTTATGTACACAGTTGAGGTAGCAGAGGCCATTTTACAGACATTTACTTGTAAAGCAAATCAAAGACATAATTTCTTTATTCAGTAAAACAATACTTTTGTTACAGATTTTGGACCAACCACGATGAACGTTTTTTATATATGCTCATGGAATATGTGCCAGGAGGAGAACTTTTTAGTTACCTGCGCAACATGGGACGTTTCAACAATAGCACAGGACTGTTTTACTCGACGGAAATTATTTGTGCAATAGAATACCTGCACTCCAAAGAAATAGTTTACAGAGACTTAAAACCTGAAAATATATTACTAGACAAAGAAGGACATATCAAGCTTACTGACTTCGGATTTGCAAAAAAACTGGTGGACAGGTAAGTCGGGTTTTGTTCTGGTAATTACATTTTGCATGCTAAATAGTTAGAAAAAAATTTGATTTCAGGTGCTCAGCATTTGATTTAACACTCCATGTGGTTCACACATATCAAATCCCTTAATATGAAGGAATGATAATCTTTAAATGGCTGAATGGAAATCAGCATTATCCCTTAGGTAAAACCAAGAGCCATATCACGCACAAGCAAGGACAGAAAAATATTTTTCTGTTGCTCGTTTTGTATATTTAAGTTTTCAGCAGTCATGTTGGAAAAAGGGAGTTCAGGAAAATAATATGAACTAATACTAAGATACATAAATTAATCCTCCATACATACTGAATATGTTTTATAACTCAGGTTTCCTTCTAGTTTCCTTTTAGAGATTTTTGAAGAGTGATTTTAAAACTGGATACAGAGTTTTCACTAGCCTGTGGCGAAAATGAAACTGTGAAAACCTAGACAGAAACCATAAGGCCAGCTTCAGCAGAACTGATTTATTTAAATCTTGCTTCTATATTACTGTTAGCTTTAGTTACATATATGAGTTTTGATAATGCAGAGGCTCCCCTCCCTCCAGTGATTTCTCTGTTCTCTCTGTTTGGACTACTCTTTCAAGACCATAATACATGTTTTTAAGAGTAAACAAGAGGATTGGGATTCAAGAAAAGGGAGGTAAAAACCAGTCTGTTCTATCAGAAGAGTGGTGTGACAAGGCTTGATGTTATGCCTTTCAGTCATCTCTTGAGGGAGACTGTATTTGATTGTTCTGATTGAGGCAGCACAGTGCTGAGTTAGGTGCTACGTAGGTGCTCATCCTCTTCAGTCATCAACCTGTTTGATGCTGCTTAAGCAAAAAACGGGCCTGTTTGTGAGGAGAGTTCTACAAAGTCAATTTGAAAGGCGAGTGTGTGGGTGAGGGTCCATAGTGATGCTGAGTCCCCAGGCCAGGTGCAAAGGAGAGCTGCTTTATTGCAAAAACCAGGCCTTTTTGAGCAGTTAGCCCATTATCAGCTACATACTTTTAAATCAGTACACACATAATTCAGCCACCATACACCATGATGTGAACACACCATGGTTACATAACTTGTTTTTCTACCCCTGATTCAGCTCAGTCTCTTTCCCACAGTTCTTTTCTAGTTAACCAAAGTAACAGGCCTGAGCCATGATTTTACAGGCCTTCCTTCTGTAAGGTTTTACTTATCAATAACAAGAAGCTGCTTAATGTATCCCTTAGGAAGTAAAAGTCAGATGAGACCAATGATGTCTCAAAATAGAGTCAAAAGTTCTATTAACCTTTAAGGTCTGAAAATCTGTTTTAAAACCATAGAATTTTATTATGAGTATATTAATTCAGTTTTCACTGGGCAAGTAAAAAGGCCTACAAATTCTGGCCTTTCATTTTAATACTTTGTTTTTAAAGTGAAAAAACTTTTTGCAGGAAGAGCTAACATATTCCATGTAAGAAAGTAGTACAATCTCTTTATAAAACATTTTCATACAAGTACTCATGACTTGCTCTTTATATGTATATACTGCCACTTAGTGGTAATTCTTGTTTTGTGCTTCTGTGGGTTTAAGGCACAAGGAAAAGTAACCCTTCATTAAATAAGGCGATAGTTCATATCAGAGTATATTTTTCAACCCGGTAGATGAGTCTCTAAGAGTAAATTTGTTCAAATATATTTTAGGATATCAAACTTAGTTATCAGTACTGTTTTAATTGGGTTTGTGTTTTCCATATTGCTTGGGGGCAGTGGAGTTGATCAGTTTTTGTTGAATCATAGAAGATTATAGTAGTTTTGTATTCATAGCTGATTTTCCTTCAAATGTACAACAGGTAACATGAGTGCAGAACATAAAATTGAAATGAGCAAAAACATTATCAATTAGAGCACAGGTGGCACCTGTTTGCACCTTAGCACAGTTTGCACCTATGCAAATCTGGTTTAGTTTTTTGTGTTACTGGGTTTTTTTTTTTTTGAAACTACATAGTATTCTCCCCACTAGCTGAAGTCATTTTCACAATGTTGGTTTTGTCACTGTAAAAATACACGGTTATCAACCCTTTATTCACTAGTGCCCTCCAGTAGGTGCTTTTGTTTATGGCATAGCCTATTTGATCAAAATTATAGGAAATACTGTCATTTTTATGCATGGCAAATGTCTGTACACATGAATCTTATGTATATTGGTGTTAGTGAGTGCATAGATGTGAGCATATACACAGCATACAAGAGTGGCAAAAAGAAGACATGAAGTATTTATGTTCTTCAAACATTGTGAGGTAACCTGCTCTCAGGATCAGCAGAGACATCCCTAGAAAGAAGACACTTCACATAAATGAAAACATGGTCTGCAGAAGACTTGGGATATGATCCCACATTCCAGAGACATAATAGTTCACTGAATGATTCTGTAGCTGTTTAATTGGGGTTTTTCTGTAGACATTTTCCTTTCTTCCCACTGCCATGTGTAAAGGGATGAAATTTTCACCATGTCCCTCTACAGTTAAGCTGCTCTTTAGAAAGAGTGTCTGGCTCATAGCTCATGTTCCCACTGTGGAAAGCAGTCTGCACCTGTACCACCTTCTTACTACAATTTCTGAAGGGCTAGACTCTTAATTATTTTTTTTTTTAAGAGACAGAGGAGGTTTTCTTTGCTCCTTCTGTTCCTTGTTGGTATGTCCTTCTGTTTATCCTTGTTCCTCCCTTTTTACTCATAGTGTACGTTTAAAAACTCTGAATTTTTCTCCAAAACAGTGTATCTTTGCCTCAGCTGCTGTTTATTTCTTCTCTTTTCCACCTTGATGTTGCTTAACTGAAGACTTAATAACCTTTTCAGTTTCTTGTAAGTACATTCATATAAAATAGATGTGCCACTACTTCTAAAAAAGGGCAATGTCAAGAAGAAAGTTGGGGAGGGGGTTTTTATAAATTACTGTTACCTGAAGATTGTAAAAAGGATTTCTTTTGAACTTTACAACTGCTACATTAGTAGAGCTTTCTCTTTCTGAAATGCATATACCACTTTTTGGGTATATAGTATTTTTATTGAATTTTTTTTTTCTGTTCTGATTTCCTTTTTTTGTGTGGTTTTTGGTTGGGTTTTTTTTAGTCTGGATATTTGGGGTTTTTTGGGAATTTTTGGGTGGTTGGCATTTAATTCCCATATTCTTTCAGAGAAGCACAAAACTAATCTGCATGGAATTTTATGGGTTTTTTTTATGGGCATATTTCACTCAGAAAGTTATAAATGTTTTAGGTAAAATAAGACTCAAGTGATCTTTTTTCTTTATTTATTTTTTCCCTCGAACTGTTTTAGTTTAGTTTATTAAAGTTTTTGTTTATTTTAGTTTAGTTTATTATTTATTAAATTTTAGTTTATTCAGTTTACATTCCTAAAAAAGAAATTTACCTGTGAGTCTTTCTCGAAACTTGAGAAGTGATTAATCTTAAACATATTGGGGATAGTTTTGCATTGTTGCATAGGCTGGCTGTGCCTCATGACTGTTCCACACAGTGGATTAAAGAGAGAAAGACTATGTAAGGCATAGTAAGTCTAGTTTGCAAAGTGTACCTTTTGTCACTGTAGAAGCAAGCAAGAATGTCTTGCAGAACAAATTTTTGTCGGCTGCATGCAAAACCATCTTTGTTAAATATACTTATGGAGAAACTGACAGAATACCAAAACAAATGGGGCTTATATGCAAAAAGCTTGTCAGGTAAGGAGATGGATGCTGAATGGTGTAGAATGCTGAAACACATTAACCATCAAGACTGAACTTCTTCACACAGTACTCTTCAGTAGTTTCACAAAATTATTTTGTCGCTTAACATTTTAACCAGAGTAGATTCTATATTTCATGTTTTAAAATTGCATATTCAAGCTTATCAATTAGAACTTTCTTGTATTTCAGCTTTTTTATCTTGAAAATTCAGAAGAGTAACTATTTTGTAGCAGTTAGAAGGGAACAGTCTATTCTTACCTTTTTTCATTGTAATTTATCTTCAAATAAGTTATCTGGAATTTCAGATAAATATGGAGTAGCCATAAAATAGTAAGGATAAAAAAAATAATTTAAAATATTATCTTTTTGTAGCATCTATTTGATGTGTTTTCCAAAATACTAAGTAGTCTGTTTCATGGCCAACAAAAGAGGAAACACAAGTTGTGATCTTACAGCACAAATGCATATCTTAAAAAAGAACATGAGTTCCAAGTTTTTGTGTAGTTAGTAAACATATATTTCTTGATTGAAATTAAGGAAGTAGTTAATGTGGTGGTAATAAATTTTATTTCCTAGTGCAGCTAGGAAACTTCAAATTGCATTGGCAAGTTACATTCACAATTTTCCTCTTGCTTGAATAAACACATGGTAAAACTGTCAGCTGCTTCATTTGCATAGCTGCCTAAATCAGTGTGATTAAGTCACATGACAGATACAGATTTTTAAATTTGGGAGAGGGAGAAGTACTTTGTTTTAGAAGATGACAGAGCTTTGCTGTTAGTCTTAATTCCATAGTCCTGATCTAGGTAGCTGCTAGATGGCAGTAGTGTAAAGCAGCGCTGTATGTAAAAATTCATGTATGCTTGATTTGGAAAATAAGAGTTTATATTTTTTAGATAAATTCATGATAAAAATAAAAATGTATTCTTTACACTTACAAATGTAGTTTCAAGAACCTTGAAGTGCATTGGATGCAAAGTGTGCCTAAGGCTTCTGGCAGTTTAGCTGGAGTAATTTGGCTTTTACCATAGTAAACTGAAGCTTAAAGAAATTCAAGTTGTAATTCTTCAATTAAAGCCTTAACTGACTGTACAGTTTCCCTTTCTTTATCTTATTTTTATGAATCAAATGTTCAAGGTTTAAAAAAACCAACCAACTGAAAAAAAAACCAAAAACAAAAGTTCCTTTTAAAATATTGCAAGGAGTCATAGAATATGCTGAGTTGGAAGGGACCCATCAGAATCCTCAAATCCAACTCCTGGCCTGGCCCAGGACATCCCCAGAAGTCACACCATGTTGCCTGAGAGCATTTTCCAATCACTTTTTGAACTTTCTTAGGCTTGGTGCTGTGATCACTTCCCTGGAGAGCCTGCTCCAGTGCTCAACCACCCTCTGGGTGAAGAACCTTTTTCTGATATCCAACCTAAACCTCCCCTCACTCAGCTTCATTATGTTTCTTTGAGTCCTCTCACTGGTCAAAGAGTGAAGAGGTCAGTGCCTGCTCCTCTGCTTCCCCTTGTGAGGATGTTGATGACCACAATGAGGTCTCCCCTCAGTCTCCTCCAGTCTGAACAGACCAAGTACCCTCAGCCCCTCCTCATAAGGCTTCTCCAGACCCTTCACTATCTTCATTGCCCTCCTTGGGACACTCTGGTAGCTTAAAATCTTTTTTACATTGTGGTGCCCAAAACTGCACACAGGGCTCAAGGTGAGGCTGCATCAGCACAGAGTAGGGTGGAACAATCATCTTCCTTGCATTCTCAGAAAAAAAGAAATTGAATTAGTATTACTTCTAAAGGTGATTGCTGTTCATCTTAATGCATTTGTTCAGGAGCCTGTTACCAGTTTGATTGGAGAAAATTCTTCCTCTCACAAACACTCAGGTTTTTTTGGTGCAAGTTAGAAATCGTGTGGTGACCATTTGTGATTGTAGTCTTTGTCATATTTTACTAGAGCTCCTTTTAAAATCTGGTAGAGTTTCCTTTCTTATTCTGTGCTGGGATTTCAATTTCTCTTGAATAGGTGAGCACATTTTCACAGTTTCATCTTCTGACTTGCCAGGGAAGGGTAATTTATTCAAAATGAGAGGACCTTTTTCTCTCAAGTATATATTTAAACCTAAGTCAAGGGAGTGAAGCCAAGCAAATTCTACATGGGTATTTTTACAATGAAAAGTTCACATTTCTGGAAGAAATTACATTACATCAGTATATTCTTATTTTCAAATATAATTTGGTCTTTGTAAACATAACTGCTTAGCTTCAGTTTGTTTCTTGTCTTTATAGACCTTGAGCTTCAGTTAGTTAGCAATATAAGAGTTTTATTTTGACCTTACCATAGAAAGCTATGATTAAAAATGACTTAAAAATAGATCACAAAAAGTATTGCCTACTTATCTCACACTTGCTTGACTACGCCTTGTAAATATTTTAAATAACTAAAAATACAAATGTTTCCCTTTTAATGAATATTGTGGAAATGATGAAAGGTTAGATTTCAATACTATTTGAAAATCTTCATATATGTGCTATTATTTACTGATTTAAACTACTACTGCTTTAAAAACTCCTCCTTTCCTTTTCTTTTTTCTAAATGAAACTTTGTTTTTCTGGAAAAAGCCATTAAGATTGTCTTCTGCTGGGCCTATCAGAAGGAGTCCATGAAAAACACAGTTAATAATGCAAAACAATGTGTAGTCTTAATGGGCAGAGTACCACAGCACCAGCTGGGAAACACTATGCACAGGTATTTTCTGAGACAGGAGGTTTCTTAATTTGCACATATCTGTGTTCCAGGAGAATTGGACAACATCACCAAAGCAGTCTGTTTAAATCTTGTACAGGCCTTTCTCATTTCTCTATTCCTTTGTATAGTAAATACATAGGTAGGTATATGTTGGGTAGTTCTTATGTGTGTGTTTGGTTTTTCCTGTAACTGTTATTTCAGTTCCACTTTGATCTGCTATTGTTGTTTGTTTTGTGCTTTTTCTTTTCCCGTTCTTTTACAACCAGAACGTGGACTCTCTGTGGCACTCCTGAGTACCTTGCACCAGAAGTCATACAAAGTAAAGGCCATGGAAGAGCTGTGGATTGGTGGGCCCTAGGAATTCTTATATTTGAGATGTTGTCAGGGTAAGTGATAATTACTATATCATAGCAATATTACGTAATACAGAATTATTTGCTAGTTCTGTTTACAATATTTGGATAAGCAAATTTGGGCCAAATTTATTATTGATTTACTGGTTTAATTTCTGCCTTTAAAGAAAGGAATTGGGAAGCTTTACAAAACTACATATATCACTTGTTGTGGGAATGTTTTAGGGTTTTGAGTTTTTTGGTTTTGTTCCTTGTTTTGGGTTTGTGTTTTCTGTTTGGTTTGAGTTTTTTGTTTTGTTTTTCTTAATACTTTAACAGCTTCTCTTTTCCTTATGTGTTTGGAAACTCAGGTTTTGCTGAAGTTTAGATTTTTATTCACAAGGTCCTTTACATTTAAAGGGTAAAGAACAGTACTACTACTGTAATTTATTTCCAGCATAGGGAAATCCTAGTTACAGTGGGAGCTTTAGTCTGTAAAAATGCACAGTGGCAAGTCGGAAGACTTTTATTAATACAATCTGTATTATAACAGAGCACTGGTTTTCTTTAAACCAGAGGAAGAACAATGGAAAGCTTTATAGGTCTGTTTGAAATCAGTTTGCTCAAATGCTGCTTTTGCTGTTTTAGAATTTTTTTGATAAAGCAATGTTTTCAGAAGATACAAATTCAAACTGAAGAAACGGTTTCTGGCATTAATACAATAACCTGTTCATTACTTGTTGTGGTTTTCCTCTTACTTTGTTTTGTCTTGGCTGTGTTGTTTGAGGGCACTTGAAAAAAGGTTTCGATTTTTGAAAGCCATTGGCTTTGCTGTGGTGGGTGCTTTAGGACAAATGCAGGTGAAAGCAAGGTTTTCATAGCTTCTGAAGAAACATTTCATCAGTTTGATTTCATAGTTCTACCTTCTTCATTGTTTCATACCTTCTGCCTGGTACCTGGCTCTGCACTCTACACCTTCTTGGTCCCCAGGTGCATCAGGTGTCCTCTGTGGCCTTTCCTTATAAATTTGCAGCCTTGTAGAATGATCAGAACAGTGTCCTTGCTTGGATTAATTCATCCTTTTCTCTGTGTATTTCTGTCATTTCAAAGTGATTTTGCTGATTCTTCCAGTGTTTGGACAAGCTTGTAATTTTGCCTGAGCAAGTAGCTCCCGTGATGAAAGGGTGTTCACTTCAGAGCTCTGATCCATTGCGGGTACTGCTGTGAAGTTCACTCAATAGCAACACAACTTTCCCTAGCACAACATTGCTACCCACTGCTTGCTTTCTTAGTGTTCTGAAGGCTTACATATGCATTGCCTTTGAATCTCATGGCAATTTGTAGACAGTAAAGCAATAAACATAGTTGCTGGCTGACCCAAGCATGCTTGGCTGACTGGTCTAATATGAAGTTGTTATTTATGTAGGCTGATTTGTAGAGACCAGGCTTCACCTTTTTTCCATTGCTTCCTGCAAGGTGAGCAGCCCAAGTTGGTCAAAAGAGTCCTTCTCAGAGAGAAAAAAGAGATTCTCAGCAAGCTTGTTGCCACTAATCTTAGCCTTAGACAGCAGGAAGACTGTAGATAAAAGTGTCTGGGCTGTAATATGAGCATAGGTGCTGCAGTCACCCAGCTGTGATTTACCTTCCTGCCATGGGTTTCAGTGACCACTCTCTGTTAGGTCTGTGTGGTCTCAGTGTGATTGGATATTGGACCTTATTTATTTGCATGCCTTACAGAGATGTTGGGATGATTCTCTCCACTAGACCACTAATAGAAATGTAGTTTACAAAGTTAACAAAGTCTACAGGTGGCGATCAAGCAAGATATTTGGAGTCACTGAGACCTCAAGACCGCAGGGTGCTGAAGTATGACTTCTGTATATTCCACTGAAACATGACTGGTATATTTTGTTCATTAAAAATGAGAGCAGCTGCTGTTGTTTCTATGTAGGATCTTCTGTGTCATGACACTGTCTGGCTCAGGGGATTTCAGAGTGTGTGGCTTAAAATGAACACTTTGGCTTTTAGAGACTTTTAACCAATAGGGATAGCTTACACTGTCCTAAAAGTCAAGTGAAGTTTTATATAGGCTGATTGACAGAGCAGCTGTCTGTTGTGTGTGATTTGCTGAAGTTTTTTTATTACAGTACTTGTATAGACATGCTCTTTATAATGATTGAATGCTGCTTTGGATAGGGACTGGATCCAAGACTAAAAAATTAAACACAGCAGCATTCAGTCATTTCCAAAGCTGGAGTAGGGACTCCATACAAGCTTGTATGTTTGGAGTGTTTGTGTTTTGAGGCTTGTTTTTTGGGGTTTTTTTTGTTTGATCTGGGCTTTTTTAAGATGGGGATATACTACTTTCTTAGGGGTTTTTTTTAGGGGATTAAAGAAGGGTAGGGATTATGGCTTGTATGTGTTTCCTTTAGATGGGAATGTTGTCACAATGAATGTATGCTTTTAGTCTTTTATAAGTTTTTTGCTGTTCTTGGCAATAGTGTTTTGAAGCACTTTTCCTCACCAGCTCAAGATCTGGCTTGATATTTACTACCAAGGCTTTTATTACAGAAGCAGTCCTAGTTAACTTTATAATTCAAAATTCAAAGAAGATGTAAGAAATCTGAAAATATTTTGAAGGTGAACAAAACCTGACTTCAAGACTAAGTTATTGTCTGCAAGTAAATTAATGTCAGACATTTGATAGTTATTTCCTGAAGTTAGTTCTCTGAAGCCCAAAAGCAATTGAAAAGAATTGGTAGGTGTGCATGCAAGGAAATGGCCTCTCTAAAAACAAACAAACAAACCCACACCTTCCTGTGTTCCACAGTGTCTTATTTCCCTAACTTAATCTCTGGAGGCCCATTGAATTCTTCTTCTGCAGAAACTAGGTTTAAGGCAAGGTCCTGTTAAGGTTTAACATAGCAAGATACAGAAGGGGGGAGGAACAGGGAGAAGCAAGGGTGAGAAGAAAACTTAACAGATGAATAACACCAAGTTCATTCAGTTAATCTAAACAAGCTAAACAAACTGTCAATACAAAAACATCTATTTTTTTTGAGTAAATGAGTTCTGTTATAATTTAATGCAAAGAAAAATACACTTGTTATTTAACATTAGGTAAGTTAGGTTGTAATTGTACTGTTATCAGATATGCAGCTAATACGAATTTTGTGTATTAATATGGATTTGTGGTTTTTACTTTTGCTTTGGTTGTCATATGTGATGTGGTGGTCTGGCATTTTAGGTAGGTTAATGGTTCCTGTCTGCAGTTTCATATTCTCAGACCTGTATATTTTCCCTTGAGGTTTTACAGCTTCTCTTCTTCAGACTGCCTTGGAAACTTATGTCCGTGCCATTGTTATGCTTCAGTTAGCAAAAGGAATGGTTTGCAGCTGTTCTTCCGTTTACAGAGATGATATTTTTTGTAGCTTCTTTTCAGTTGGTGAAAAGGCAGCTGTTTGTATTTGTGTTGTGGTGTGAAGAAAGTCTGAAACTCAGGGGGATTTTTGCTGATTTATTAGGTAGCTTCCAGCACAATACTTGTGTTGTTTTGTTTAAAATCTGTGCTTCATGTCAATGAAGACTGACATTTATAAAAAGCATCAAAATCAAGTTACTTGGTTTGTCCATGAGAAAACTGCAGTCTTTCAAAGCTGTTGTCATTTTGCATAGAGTTCAAATGCACTTTAATTGCCATAAAATTATTATACCGCCAACTGTGATTTAAATTTTTCACAAGAACTCTAGACATAGTAGTTTTGGGTTTTTAAAGTGGGAAAGCAAATTAAAACAATGCAATGTAAAAATGAAAAAAATTATATGTACTTCTATTCTTCTTGATTTCACACCTCAGTAATGTACAGTCATCTGCTTACTGCAGCTGGTAGCTTTGTAATACATAGTTAAAAGTATTCTAATTGCTTTATGCATATACATATTCTAATAGGTAATAAATAGAAAATAGGGTTTGTCAACTTGCTGTAGAGAATGTGAATGATATTTATGTTGCTTGACCAAAAAAGAAACTATATGATAGTCTTTCTTGTGGTGAAAAAACTTGTGCATGTTAAATAGCAATCATGTTTTCCTTGTTCTTTAGTGTCAAAGTACGAATTTTTAATAGCACAAGTATTATTCCTGAGATTCTTCTATTTTTCAGTTAGCTGGGAAGTAGTTTTTCATAAAGAAAATACTCTTTGTGAAAACCAACAAAAAATGTCCATTAGTCTTTCCCTGACCAGATAGTTTAGTCATGCTTTTCAGTGCTTTGAATTAGTATGGTTTTTTTACCATAAGCCTACAAATACCTTTACTTAATTATTCTGATGGAATTTGATTATTCCTGTGGCCGAAATTGACAGTATTTCAAAGGGAATGCTAATCCACTTGATCATCGGCTGAATAATGAAGAAATTAATATTTCTGAAAACATAATGGAAATCATGTATATTACTTGTTGAAGAATAAGCTACCATAAAATTTTAAAAAAGAGCCATTTGACTACCATAAAATTTTAAAAAAGAGCCTGAAGTGAAGAAATGTTGTTTTCATCCTTGTTTTTGTGCTATCAGTGCTTTCCAAAGCCACAAGCACTGTATTTGTGTGCGTATGCACACAGTTAAGTTCTCTGAGAAAGTAATTATGTTAGAGAGATGTGAAAATACTTTATTTAAACTGTAATAGTGGTTGGATGTTTTTAATATGGTCACCACTCAAAAGCTGCAGGTTTTTTTAATTCTGTGGGGATTTTGAGGCAGAAGCATAGTAAGAGGGTTGTTTTGGTCATATTACGGAGGGCAAAGCAGGACTGAGATTACTGAATGAGTTATTCCATTCCCTTAGAAGGTTTTCTGTTTAACTTTTAAGAGCATGAGTGACACTTGGAAAGCTATCAGCTCTTGGGCTCAGCTGCCTGTACTGGCTGTACTGATGCACCTCTTGCAGCCATCAGGGATGTACTGTACTCGTAAAGGAAGCACAGCAGAAAACTTTCAATTCTTACTGGAGCTGTACAACAAGAAGTAGTCTCTCTGTTAGCTCATAACTTCATGAAGAACTTCATAGAAGCCATAAATGTAGAATTTTAATTACATGTTATTTACTATTCATCATGGGGAAGATTTTGAAATGAAAACTTTATCTGTCCCACACAGAAAGGCAGCTGCACTTGGAGAGTTGTGAGCAGTCTGACTGTTTCAAAAACCTTATCTAGCAAAACATATAGTTGAATTCAAGACGTACAACAAATAACTGAACTGCATAATGTATTCATGTGCAGGTCCTTTAACACTTTAGAAAGAAACTGATAAATAAGGGTGTGCCGGCAGTTACAGGACAAGATCAAAAATGGTAATGCTCTTTTGGAGAGTATATCCCTGGGTTTTAGAGATAAAAGCAAAGCATTTTCTACTTTTGAACTGAAAATTTTTTTCATAAATTATATTTTTATGGCAATTGTGTAGCAATTTTATATTTTTCTCTTCTGTTGTTATATTTAAATTCTAATTCTGCATTCAGTGTGTTGCGTACAAAAATGTTTTCTGTTTTACAATGGCAGCCTTAAATTATTCTTCAAGATAATATTTGATTGGTAGCGTCCTACCAAAAAGAACATCATCGATTATTTCTGAGGGGAATTGCTATAACATAATATTGCTTATAAAATTTTTAGAACTTCTTTTCTAACCTCTGAAAATTTTCTGTATTAAAATAGGTTTCCTCCATTTTTTGATGACAATCCATTTGGTATATATCAGAAGATTCTTGCTGGCAAAATAGATTTCCCGAGGCATTTGGATTTATATGTAAAGTAAGTCCATGACTTCCAACACTGTCTTTTCTATTCTAAATACCTCCTGAGCACTGTTTCTAAAAATCTTTTTAGAAGACCTGATTTCAGATTCTGATTTTCTGAAACATCATATTGGAAAATATTTGATATTACATTTACACTTTCAGTCCAAATAAACTTATATATTTTGTAGACTTCAAGGTGGTGATACAGTTGTAAGATAGTATCTACCTATCTTTTCTGTTTATTATGGGTTATTAAATGCTTTTCCACCTTGTGGAAACCCCATTGGCATGTCCTTTAAGGAGGTCAAGAAGAGAAATATGAGGAAATAATCTGAGCAAAAATTAGGAGAGCAGGAAGAGGACCCTAAAACTGTTTCTATACATAGATACATACCACTTAAATCACTCTCAGCATAATTACTTGAGTGAACTCTGGTACTTCGGAAGTTCTAGTGTAAAGTCCACTTAAATTTGTGATAGCAGGGGCACAGTTCAATATGGAGTATTACATACACATGTAATGTGGGTTTAATTTTCAGTATTTAGCAATTGTTAAAAGTGTATTGTGGATGAAATAAGTTTTTTTTTTTCCTATTTGAAAATTCCATAACTGAAATAATTTTTAGTAAACATTGGAACATGAGAAAATGCGATTATAAACATGAAGTTTCTTCTAAGTGACAACTGAGTGAATGAGTGAGGGAGTGAAGACAGGAAGTTACTCCTTTGTTAATCACTTGTGATGTTTTGATGGTGACTTCAGAGAGGCACTTGCTTACTGTGACTACTGGGTAAACATACAAGCAAAACTAATCATTTGAGAAAGTGTTTGTTTTGGTTTTTTTAAGTCTCCACTGAATCATTGGATGCTCTGAATGAAGCATGTCTGCTTCTCCTTAGGCTGACTAGTGTCTCATATTCTTGTGTCTTTGTAACAGTTTTCTCTTAGTAGCTCCACACAGTTCGCAGTTTAGTGTAGTCTTATCTGGTCTTCCTAATCCAATTGGTCTTGGAAAGAAAACTGATTATCTCTTGTAGTATTCTGTGCACTGAGCTATAATATTGTGATCAGAAGGGGGAGCACCTCAAATTAGGTTATCATCACTAACAGCCCATCCAATATAGTGAAAGCAGTTACAGAGACTAATAACCCCTGAGCCTCCTTTTATCCTAGCTAAACAATCCCAGCTCCCTCAGCCACTCCTTCTGGACTTAGCCTCCAGATCCTTCACCAGCTCCATTGCCCTTCTCTGGCCTCACACCAGCATCTCAATGTCTTTCTTCAAGTGAGTGGCCCAGAACTGGACACAGAAACATGAGGTGTGGTCTCACCACTGACAAGTAGAGGGGGCCAATCCTTGTTCTGTCCTGCTGGCCACACTACTCCTGTGGCTTCACTTACTTTCTGCAGTGAGTTGTGAACACAGTGTCTTGGATGTCAGCCCCTCTTCCTTCTTTTAAACCACAATATGCAGAACTGGATAGTCCTTGAACATCTCTGCATCATTACCTTAAAGCAAGTGCCAAGATTATTTTGTCTAATGAAGGCAGTCTTCTTACATTCTAACCCATCTGTTTTCTCTCTTCTTCCAATAAGTCTGGTCCTGTCAGATCCAGACTGTGTCTGAAGTATTAGTGCTATACAAAGTTTTAACACTCTGTTCTGAGGCAGCAAAACTGTTTCCCTTTCTGAACTCTGAGAGCACTTCTCTCCCTAGGGATATGTACTGCCTGAGCTTACAGGCATTTACATTTTTTACTCACCAATCCCTTATCACCCTCCTGTACTCTTTACTTTCTGAATTTGTACCACTTCTGCTTTCCCTCCTGATGCATGAATGTCACTCTTCCTTACTGCTTTTTTAAGGTTTTCTTTGCAAAGCCACTTTTGGAAACCTCCAAATGAAATGTCCCTATTACAGCATTTTACTGATTATTGCTCTGCAGGGACCTTCATGTAGAATTTGGTTCTCAAAAACATGCACCAGCATATCTATTGAATTAATTTTAACATAATTTTTAAATGAGTATTTAGAACCAATGTAATAAAGAACTACTGAACTATTATTGGTTTCAATTCAATGGGTATTTCACTGGTCCAATGCAGCAAGTATCATATTTAGTAACAATACTGTATCAGCAAGTAAGCTCATCCCTTAGCTGTTTTATGATGAATTTTTGAAGCAAGCCAAGAATGATCCATGAAATGTTTTCTGGTTTTATAGGAATGGGAAAGTGTCTTTGCCCATAAACTCTGTGAATCTCTTTTAGGGTTTCTGGATTTCTTTTCAGCCCTACTTCTGTTTTAAGTGTGCTTATAGTCCTCCTTGTAGCCTCTTCCATGATGAATGCTCTTTGTGAAGTAGAAAGGGATCTTTCTGCAAAGGTGACTGTGAAAGGAGTTGGTCACTTGATTTAATCTAATTGAAATATTGATTGTCTGGAATAATCACAAGAGTTTTAAAAACTGCTTTCTACATGGATTTTTTATTCATATATCTGGTAATTTAATTTTTTTCCAGTTGAATTTTAGAATTGTATTTCTGCCAAATGCAGCAGCTTTTCAAACAGTCTAGCATATTCAGTTTATATGTTCATTTTGCACACACTTTTTTGATTTCAAGGATAGATGACACTGCTATTTTTGGGAGGCATAGTAGACATTACAGGTAGGGATGGAGAGAGGCAGGTGTGTCATTGTTATGTTTGTGTTCTTTTCTGTAAATAAAACAGTTGACTTTCTTTAACCTTTGATATTGTTGAAAATTTGAACTAGCCATACTCTTTAATCTCCATTTCATGCTGTATGTCGTCTCTCAGGAATATTTGAGATTATAGAAATAAGGATGGTTAAACTTATGTTCTTTCTTGTCATTGGTACTTCATGCAATCAGTCCAGAATCCAGTTTTCTAAAATCAAATAGCAAAATAATCTTTGAGATAAAATATAACTGCTTATAGAAATATGAAGCCATATTTTTCTTTCAACTTGCAAGTAATCAAGCTTATTCCATAAATTATGATACTTATGGTTCATGTCATTGTTGTTTGGGGCTTAATATTTGAAGTACTTTGCTATTGATATTGGAGAGTTTTCTGTCTCTAAACTTCTTTTAGTCGCTTAAAATGTTCATTTAGTTTTATGTAGAACTGCTCAATGCGCCAGTATCTCAGTGAGACTTTGTTTTCAATTAAATTATAGATGTTACTAGTTTTAAGCAGATTACTAGCTCTTCCATGGTTTCTCTGGATATTTAGCATAAAGATGAGGATGCAGCTTTATCTGCTTTTTAAATATATTTTAGTGTTGAGTTCTGACAAGCAGATTGGATATCTGTTGGAGAAAAAAAAAATTGAGGTTTTGAGATTGGGCATGCTGAGCAAAATGCAAAAAAACAAAGAACAAAATGGTGCTACTTGGCAAGGGGCAGGGGAGGAGAGAGTGAGTTTTTTTCCCTTTGTTTCTTGGAAGAGTCTAAAAGAAATCTGCAAGAATTCTGTTAGATTCTTTTTTATTGCTTACTCTTAAATGTCCTAAAATATGAGGAAATGAATGGTCAGAGGGAAGCATGTCTATATTCTGTAACACTTGACAGTCAAATATAAATTACTTCTGTTTAACAGAGAACATGTTTTCTCTACTTCAGAGACCTTATTAAGAAGCTACTTGTGGTTGACAGAACAAGACGACTAGGAAATATGAAGGTCAGTGTAAAATCTTTAGTGTAAGATTCACACAAGGTTGAAAGAATTCTGTAGAAAAGATATAGACCAGCTCTTCATAGAATTTTTGATTTTATAAGCATGAAACACATACATTTCCCCATACATTACTTAGGTTATGCAATGCTAAATGCAAATTTAACTGTGTATTTCTGTGTTTCTGAAAATCCTTCCCCTATTTGGATTAATGCTACTCTTCCTGGTGGTTTTCCTCTCACCTCACCACCACCCTGTTCATTAATGTGAAAACCTAGATTAGACCAGAAACATGGTATTAAGTCCTCTAGTGCATGGTGCCAGCTTCATTTGGTTCTTTTTTTGTGGCAGTGTTAATCCCAGAAGGGCCACTAATCAAACTTGAAGTTTAAAAATTATTTTAAAAAGATACAGGTTGTAGTGATATCTGGTCATTGTCTTGGTGGGGCTGATTAAGCGTTAAATACTCTTTTTAAAGAGTTTAAGAGTTAAATACTCTTGCACCAGGAGGAATTGTTTACCCTAATCCAAACAAATTTATGAAGACAATAGATACTGAAATTAGCATGTATAATCTTTCTCTTTGGAGACATCTAAAATTTTTATTTCTCTGGGGAAGGGATGTTAGAGGTTTGCTTTTTGGCCCAAAGCACCTTGAATGGTAAATATAGCTGAAGATGGTAAAAAGTGCACAATCATCCAGGGTTTTCTTAACATATTAATATAAATGCTTTAACCAGTTGTCCGTTGTTTTCTTTTGGAGCTTTTTTATGGCACAAAGTTAGACTGGTAAGAAAAAACAGGAAATAATGTTTTTCTTATCCTTCAGAATACTTTGTAGCCTTTTTCAGGAGAATTTCTTAAGCTGAAAGTTTTTCAACTCATTTACCTGTGAAAACTTTTATATCTTTAGACAGTTTTGAAGGAAAACAAAAATAAAAGCAAATCTTGACTTGTTCACGCATGGGCTTTGGTAAATGTGTTTGGCTGGGTTTTCTGTTTTCTGGGGATGTTTTTAGTCCATGGTTGCTTAGGTTTGTTTTGGGGTTTTCCCTACAATTGACTAAAATTCTTAAATCAAAAACAGTTCTAATTAAGAGCAGATTTTGGGGTGGGAGCACTAGGTCAGACTTGTGTTTGATCCTTTTCCATTGTCATAATTGTTTTAAAAATATGTAAATCCCACAAAACATTTTCTGGTGAAACATTCAGTCAGATCTGCTTTTGAGGGAACTATGTGAACTGTTCTTCTTGATGCCTGATTGGATATGAGCATGGATAGTTCCACTCCACATAAATCTGAAAAAACCCAAATGTGTAATAATGCTTGGTTTTGTGGAGCTGTACGTGTTATAGTCTTGAGTGCTGTGCTTTGATCAGGCCTGAGACAGGGAACCAGCTGTTTTTCCCCAGTGCTTAATGCCTTGAGAACAAGTCTGTGCGTGAAACAAGCTTAATCATGAAAAAAAGAGACATTTGTGTTTCTTATGTACATAAATAAAACAGGCACCCCAGAGAGAATAATCATTGCAAGGCAAATACACCTTTAGCTGTATATCTAAAATGAAAACAAATGTTTTAATATATTTACTTTCGTAACAGTACTGAGAACCTCTTGCTGTCAGCATTAAATGCCTGTAATGTTTAAAAAAACCTATGTGCTTCCCAGACATTATTTTTATTTAAAACACCATCAACTCTGTTATTTTTTTATAGTGCAAGGATTAGAAAGTATATCGAATACAAGGCATTCTCTAAAATGTTGGTGAAAACAAAAGTAAATAGGACTGTAATGAATGGTTTTGTGGGTATTTTAAAGCCTGTTCTTGATCTCCATTGTGTCAGAAGAATGCTAAAAAAAGCCCGAAGAAACCTCAAATCAAAATTACTTGGGTTTTATTGCTGGAACTCAGGACCTACTAGGTAATTAACACTATGAATTTATCCTTTAGAATCTTTTTATGATTATCACCTGAAAAAAAGAAAAAAGGTTAGACCTGATATTACAGTCCTTGTAATGAAATACATGGCATACATGTAAGCTTAAAAAATAGTAATTTTGATTTCTTTCCTTAAAGAATGGAGCTGATGATGTGAAGAGACATCGATGGTTCAGGTCTATAGACTGGGATGCTGTACCTCAAAGGAGACTAAAGGTACATTCTGCAAATACTGTATAGGACATCACAAGGAGAAATCATTGTTCATTTAAGCTGATCTGTTGAAGGTTTGTTGGCTGTTGCATCTGTGTGTTTGTGTGTGTATAAGCACATGTCTATAAGCACACTTCGTAATTAAATGCATATTGGCCTCTTTGCAATGTGGAGTTAATTGTATGAATGTCTGTTTGCATTTTTGTCTATATACAAACTGTCTAAAAAATCCCTGCTTTAGTTCACTGAGGATGATTTGTTAATACAGAATTTAGTTTTCACGTTTAGGTTTTTGTAAGTGATTACTTGTTGTAAGTGTTTTTTTATTTGCGGACATGGAGGGGATTGCTAATTTGTTGGTTTGATTTCGTTTTTCTTTTTTCCTTGTCCTTACATATATGGAGGTATTTTATTCTGGACTTTAAATTTTTGTACCAAGTTCAATTCAGGTAAATGTTTTAATAAAATGTAGAGCACATGGAAGTAGGAGAAATAGGGAATAGGAAAGAGAAGGATTTATGAATGTAATTCCAACAGACTTTTTTATAGCACTGAATTCTAGTATTATATGAGGGCAGATGTTTGCAAAAGCTATCAACACTACAAAATGTTTTTAAAGTACTTTAGAAGTAAAACTGCTTTCTTTCTTTCCTTCCTCGGAGTTTTAACTTGTACAACTCCTTACAGCAGTGGTTTTCTGTAGCAGAGGTTGAGTTACCACATGCAGTCAGTCAAGTACAAATTAAACATTTGTTTTTATTTTCTTTGCATTAGTTTCTTCCACTTAAATTCCAGGTAGATACCTTGAGTTCTTGCAAAAATGAAAAAAAAAGGAGACAATATTAATTTTCTTGATGTATTCTTGTAAACGATATCTAATACAAAGCTATAGATGGCTTTTCTCTCTAAGAAAAATAAGTTTACAGTGTTTTAAATGTGTGGGTTTGTTTTATTTTTAATCATTACTGCCACCAGTTGATATTTTTATGTATATGCATTGTAATGAAGTCACATTTTCCTAGGTATTTACTATAAATTCTGTTTACGAAACTTGCAAAGAACACACACTGGATGATAACTTGTTTAATAATATATAAACTCAGAATATGGCAATCAAAGCATTAAAAAACAAATAGTATTAAAAATTATTGTTAGATGTACCATCAAATGTCTCAGGTCCAAACATCCTTTATGTGGCATTTTTATTTTAAAAATGAATCAAAAAAGAGTCACCATAGCATTCAGATTACTATAAATACAAAACTTGTTTCTTAATCTTTATGATGGTTGCATTAAGCTCTTGGAAGATGAAGTGGTACTTAATTAAACTTTAGAGTAGGGATGTGAAGTGGATCAGAATTTAACTTGGTTATTTGAAGACTATAGCTGCCTCTATAGAATTAGTTTTCATGATTTCATACTGATGAAGAGATTGAAAATATGAAATAATGCATACAATGCTCCATTTTCCTGGTAAAAAGCGTGAATTTGTCTATTGTATAAATTATGCGTGGATTCATGGTCCCAATAAGGTCCTAAATATCAATATCATATAAACAATAGCAATGGCTGAAAGGGAAAAAATTGTTTCATTAATCATCCTTTCTCTCTTGTTTTTTTCTTTCTATGTGTCACTTCACAAAACTCTCTTTTTTCTGCCAAAATGCTTACAGGGAGGGGGGGTATCAGGTGCTGCCCACAGTGGGGCAGACATTTCTCAAGGGCAGAGGAGATTCTGCACATTTTCCTCACCATCTGGGCAGTATTACTGTGACTGCCAGACACAAAATTAGGACTCTGCTTTTGGCTGAAGGTTAGAAGTACTATCATACAGGGACCTGTCTTTCCCATTGAAAACCAACTGATGATGACATCATTTTGAAAAGCCCATAAGATCAAATAAGATCTCATAAGCTAGTGGAAGCCAGACTTTTATCTTTTTGAAGATGTGCAGAATAGCATTTTGCTATACTTTATAATTCTATCTGTGGTATAACTTGGAGCCAGTTCAGTGATCATCCATAGGGTTTTCTCATTCTAAAGTGTTCTGTTGGATTCAGCATGATAATTAAGCTCTCAGTTGCTGAGAAGAGAATAGAGATGAATGTCCCTTGAGAGAGGAAAAGGGGTTTGCCCTTCATTAATACCTGCAATTAATGAAATGTTCTTGAAGGGATCTTTATCTCGTAGTCTGTGGCCAGAAGCACAGAGCATTCTCAATATAGGATTTCAGACAAGTTAAAACTGTACTCTAAAGCTGATGAGCAATGCTAGAAATTGAAAGGATCCTCTGTGAAAACAAAAATAACCTGATACTTCTCTTGGCACCTTCAAGTTTCATAAAAACAGTCTGTTTGAATTAAGATGCTTTTATAACCATCCTTTTGAAATGAGTTATGGGGAAGCAATTTCTTTACCTGCTTGAATTTATTGCTAGGTTAGGAAAAAACACAGTTGGTAGACAGAAGTTAGTAATTTCAACCTCTTTAAAAGCAATCAATCTATTTGAAAGCAGTGAAGAGAAGGATACCTTCAATATGGTAGCAGTTTCCCATGCTGCTATGAAGATTCTTAGTTGAAAGGAAGCTAGTGCTCTCAATAAAATAGGTATCTGTATTAAGTGTATTAATTATCTAAGTGTCTTTTAGCCACATTATTTAAGTCTAAAATTGATAAAAAGTAGGAATGTGTATGTGTTGCTGCAAGTTTCTCTCACTCGTGCCATTCATTATTAGGGAACAGGTGAACAGTAAATCTGTACTCCATTTGTTTAATAGAGCTTTTACAGAATAGTATGATGGAGAGGAGCTCATTGAGGAAACTACTAACATTTTTGTTGTGCTTCTTCTGACTAGCCTCCCATAGTGCCCAAAGTATCCAATGATGGGGATACTTCCAATTTTGAAGCTTATCCTGAAGATGACTGGAACAAGACACCTCCGGTACCTCCTAAAGATCTAGAAATTTTCAAGAACTTCTGAGCGTAACATCTACACTCAACAAGGTATGTCCAAATGTCAAGAGTGCCCTTGAAAACATTGCAGACCTGTGAGTGAGAACCATATGCAGAATTACATTTTCTGATTTATAATGGCTTGAGGTGACAAAAATCGCCTCACAGGATTTGGTTTTCTACATTCATGAAGGTTTATTTGCTTACAAATATTTAAGTCCTTCTGTCCTTAAATTTTTTTAAATAATGTGTAAAAAGAAATACCTAGAATGATTTGACAGATAAGGAAATGTGATAGTTTTCAACTCTAAGGTTTTACTACTCTAGAGGAATAAGGTTGTCAGATTAATTCTGTACCCTGGATATTCTCTCTTATAAATGTGATAGGTTGATACTTATTACTGAGTTCAAATAGTCCACCTTGAGTTTTGTGTTCTCTTTTTTTGTCTTAGAAACTGGAAGGAAATTGAAGTGCTAAGAGCAAGTCTGAAGAACAATGGAGTTCAGATATAAAGGAAGATTTTCTTTGTGGCTAAGAATGATACTGCATTCAGATATGTGTATTAGTAAATGTCAAAAAATATGGAGGCAGGCAGGAATAATTTTTTGCTGTAAACATTTGACCTTAGTTTATTAAATTGTAATAATGGTAGTCTGCTCTGAAGTAGACTAATTAAAATGATATTTTTAGGATTATTTTTTTTTTAACTTATGGTTGAATTAAGTTTCCTGCTATTCCCAGATCCTTTTTGCATAGTTAACTCATAGACTTAATTTTATAAGTTTATACTAAAGTTGTGTAATTAAAAGCACAAATTAGTATATATGTATATAATGGATACAATACAACTAAAGCACAGGAATTGTGCAAAGATGTAAATTTTTGTACTTTGCAGAGTCTATGATTTTTATTTTTCAAATAATGTTTTTCAAGAAGTTCTTTAGGAATAAAAGTCTTAAAAAAGGATAAATGAGTTTTTCATCATCTTATATACATTTTATAATTCTTTGTAAAAAACAGAAATAATTACGTTTTAAAAAAGATTTGTACCTAAAATTTCCAATGCCTCACACTTACAACCATAGTACTTGAAAGCAGAAAGACCAGGGCATGTTTTATTGTTGTTAAAGATGTATCTTAAAGGCTAATTTAAGAAGTTCTGTTGCAATTAAGTCTTTTTGAAAACCAGAATTTTGAGTGATAATACCCTGTCTGAAATGAGATTCCTCACATGAAAACTCACTGAAAACATGCAAGTCAGTCCATCCTGATAAAAGGGCTTTAACTGGCTCTGACAGGAGTTCTTCCCTCACAAGTTTGTTGTCGTCTCCAAATGTAAAGCATGAGCCATAACAGACCTTTTTCATTAGCGAAATTGTTGTTGTTGAATGCTGAACACTTCAGAATATCAGAGGGAAGACTGAATATTTAGTACAGCCTTATTTTTCTCCTCCTCCTTTTTTGAAATTGTCCTAGTCCCTGCTGCCAGCAATTTCATATGTACAGAGTTCAAACCCTAGATGCACAGAGTCTCTTTTTTCATCCTGTGTTAACATCTTTCTAGCAGCTTGAGCACACTTTTTTGGAAGTATATGCAATATTGCTTATTTTTAAGTAGCACTAAATATCAATATGTGCATAAGTATGTATCTCTATATATGAATGCACAAAAACATGAAGGTAGATTGAATACTAGGCAGAATGTCTTTTTTTAGGTTTTTTTTTCATGTTTCATATTGTGAAACTTGTATTAATATAAGGGAGTTGATTTTGAAGTGCTTCAATTACAAAAAACACAACGGCATTTTTTTAGGATGTTGTCAGTTTAGATAACTTCTAGTGAAATTACCATATTATATTTAGGCCTTTTTTTCTTCTCAGAACACATCAGCTCTCTGAAGGTCTACTAGTATGACTTCTGGCTCTACATAATACTGTTTTATTAGATCATACAGACAGTGTTTTCCAAAAACTACTCTCCATATTTTTGATCTGAAAGCTATAAGAACTGTAGGCTGAAGATTTGTTTTTCTAAACTAAATCCTGAATGCCTACCAAGTAGGCATTCTAGTAATTGCTACTGAAATTACCATATTTATGATTTTATTGCAGATCTGTTACTGGAGTTTCCTTGTGGAAAAGTGATCTCAATTTTTTTTTTTTTGTTTAAACAGTACAGAAGTGCTATTGAGAACCTGTAACTTCTAGGATATTAGATTATTTCTTCATAAAGCAAATCTTCCTAAAAGAGATTGTATAACTCTTGTCAAAAATGCACGATGTATAAAAAAAATCAGGATATTTCAAAATGAAAATTCTGGAATATCACAAAGCTGTCTTGATGTTCTGCAAGTTGATGGCCGCAGCTGCCACTCAGTGAATATTGTGTAGGAATGTATAATGAAATACAGGACAATCCATAGGAAATTACAGTTTTAACCTAGTGTAAGTACCTTATTCTCTTGGAAAAATGAATCTGGCCCACTATGTTTGTATCTGTGGAATTAGTTATTCTAAATCAATTGGAAAAACTGAAACACATGAAACTCAGCTTACTTTGTGTAAGGGGGAGCAAGCAGTTGGAGAGTTTTCTTGATGTGTAAGTGTATGGTATTTTATGGACTCTGAATACATACATCCATTTCTTATTAGAAAATTTACATACTGCAAGAAAGTGTGCTAAATATAGGATTTTTCTTCAAATTTCAAAGCTGCTCTGTGTTTAAGTCTTCAGATCTGAGTAAATTAAGTTGAAATCGAGTAATTTACCTCAGTGGCGGTTAGAAGTTTTGAATGCTTGAACAAGAGGAAATAGTGAATTTTCTTTCTATGACTTTTATCCATTGCTGGCAGTGGATGCACTGACACTCATTATGATGGAGACTAATGTAGTGAATACAATGTTATTAATAATGATAATCCACTGACTTTACATTGTTTCCGAGCCATGTGTACCTACGCCTAACTACCAACCTCATCAGCATGCTTTCTAGTACAGAACTGCTTTCAGGTTTTTTTAAATTAAAATACTGAAGTAAAAAGTAAAACCAAAACATTTTTGAAGCATTATTTTAAGCGATCAGTTATTTTCTCTACAGTCCTGGACTTAATGAGGTGTTATTACCTGGCTGTTTTATTTATTTGCACAAGTGAGTCTGCTTTAAGTCTTTACTGGGACTTCATGGCCCGCTAATGTAGTTCTGTCTGAGTGCTCATGCAGGTAAACACTGCACTAGGAATTCTGGATTTATGGGTTTTTTTAAAGAAGACTAGAAGATTTTTTTAGTTCCTATTCAAGTAGGGTGTTCTCTGAAGTTCATTTTATTTTGATTCTTTCTGTTAATGTGTGCTGTGGCATAAGGACTGTTGTCTTGCAAGAGAGCCCATAGGCCTTGGATATTCTACATCAGTGAACAAGAATGTTAAACATTAAAAAAACAACCTTTATTTTTGAGTTTTATATATATATATTTTTAATTGCCCAGTCTGAGGTTTTAAGTGATAAACATGAATTGTAAACTCGATTGCCTTGTAACCAAATGATATAAATGCTTCATGATTTAAATGAAGAACATGCTGTAGATTTTCCTGTAAATGAGCTTGATCAATGAATATGTGTGCTACTGAGCTTTAACTAATGTGATCTTCCACTGTAGAAAGTCATTGTTATGGATCAAATATAGGTACTAAACTATGTTTAAATGGATAAACAGGGATTTTACAGTTTTGAAAGCAATGAAGATATGGCTGTTCCTCAGCCCATCTGCTTGCCATTCAGAAGAGTTGTGATGCAGTGCTTCCTATGCTATAGAATTATTTTTCAGCTTTCAATGACTGTAGCATGATTCCTTCTTGTACTGTACTGTGTACAGACTTCCCATGTTTTGCACTTTTCTATGGCAAACCTTGACTGCTTTATAAATACTCTGTTGTGTAGAACGTAGTGATAGTGGTAGCAGGCATTTGTGTGCTGCATAATCAGTTTGGACTGCTCGACTTGCGAGGTTCACCTGGGCTAATGTTGTGTGTTGCTGGTTGCTTGTTGTAGCTCATGTGTAAGTACTGTTCAAGTTACAAAGTCAGCCCTCATTGCACAATGAAAAATCACTGTGATCTGTACATAAACCCTAGTAAAACTTTATTGCTGTTTAATTTAATGTAATATCTGTCAAATCTGGATTCATTTAATAAACCTTTATATCTTTTCAAATGTTTAAATCTAGTTTGCTTCCATTTATGCTGGAAGGAGATTGCGGTTCTTCATCCAAGAAAATGGTGAAGGGGAGATGAAAGTAGCAGAAAAACAATTGTTCCTTCTTTTCACATTTTAATCCTTTCCAGAACAAGATGCAAGTATTGGAACAGATTTCAGATGGTGTCGAAGAAGCACCAAAAAGTACATTTTCTAAACCATTTCAGGTAGTGCACCAATAATCAAAAGTGTTAATTTGAACTTCTCATTAAACTTTGATTATATGACCCTAATTCCTTTGGCATTTTAACAACTTAATGACCTGAACACTGTCCAGAACACTCAGTTCAATGTTTCTTTAAGCATTGAAAAATATTTTTACAATGTCTACTGACTTACCCTTTATTTCATCTTCCATCAAAACTTGAAAAGTTCATTTTTAACAAAATTTGTTTAGCTGTTTAAATTCCTTCTCTTGGGTCAAATGTATTTTATTTCTTACCACCTAGGTATCATAATATGGTGATAATTACATAGTCATAGAACCTACTGGATACAGTTTGGGCTAGTTAGGGGTTCACTTTTTAAAGATGGATTTTTTTTCTGCCTGGCTTCATTATAAATTCTGTGCATTGATCTTTTCTCTTGTAAACCACCATGTCATGTGCTTCAAGAGACTGCTAATGGAAAGTGAAGGAACACTGCAATGAGCCCTGGCAAGATTTTAGTCATGTCTTTGTCATGAATCAAAATAAATTTTCAGTTAAAACACAGGAAATTTTTTAATGGCAACAAGAAAGAATTTTGTTTGGTATCTTATTCATACCCCAGCCATGTGGCTGAGTTTTTGTTCATTTGTCCTGAGTGCTACATCTTTTTTGAATGCACATGTAACTCTTTTTATCTTTTCCAATAGAAGCCATTTAAAATACACTTTTTCACTCATTCGGGGCAGGTAGGTTTTGTTCACTACCCCCAAATCTCTCACTTCATGCTTCATTAGGCCTTTTTAGGGCAAAACACTCTTAAAACTGCATTTGACAGTAGCCTGCTGTTCTGTGACCCTCTGTTAACCACTAAAGGTATGATACTATAAGGAATGGTGGAAAGCAGCTGGCACTGTTACATCTGGATCCTGCCCAGTACTTTGTGAATTCTTACATAATTCACAAATCAAGCCCTTCCACATGCAAACCCCTGCTAGCTGCTTCAATCTCAGCTGCAGAATTTAAGTGGCTTTTCACAGGGAAAGTAGAAGGCTTTTCTGCTACTCTCAGTAGAAGACAACTCCATTCTGTCTTTCATGCTCCCTTTCCATCTACCCTTCAAAAAATCACCACATATGAATGTGTGTCAAGCTTTGTATTTATCCTTGAAACCAGAAATACTGTAAAATTTTAATGAGCTGAATTGTACAA